AAAAAAAAAAAAAAAAACCAGAAGCACCTCGGCACCACTCAAGCTCCAGTTATCAGCTCTAAGACCAGTTCCTTACCACATACTCATCCTCATAACCCTCGTCATCTGTTTCACCAGTGTTTGGGTCACAGTCCTTGACGGTGAATTTCATCATGCAGCTGAATGTACAGGCCACTAAGAGGGGAAAGAAAGAAGAGGCAAAAGGTTCATGTTGCCATAAGATATGCATTTCTATTTATGTACCAGAGCGTGTTCAGAATGGAGGAAGGAGCATCTCAGGGCTCCTGGGTTCTATCTTCAGTCTGTCACTGACTTGACCTCTGAGTTTGGGCAAGTCATCTCTCTGCTCTGTGCTCCATTCTCCCAAATGTGAGCTGCGTCTATTTTAGACATTCAGGCTTAGTCAATGTTCATAAATGCAGTGGGTTGAAAGCACTGTCATAAAACAGTGAGCTTAGCAGATGAAATATCATCATTTCACTGGACAGTCTCAAATAACTGCAGGAATACTAATTAAGTAGGCCTCACAAGTTCTCCTAATAAAGGAAACAATATACTTATCTAGGGGTCAATTTACATACCACTGAAATGACCAAACTTCTACTTTACAATGCAGTGGCTGATTAATACCACTCGAGTTAGGATAGGAAGTAATGAACCGCTCTAGCTAAAACTGAAACTGCCAGGTGAATGACAGGCTATACAGAAGGGAACTGTTACTAGAAAGAAAACCGAAGTATGGAAAAGGGCAGTTTCAATTTCTGATTGGTGAGAAGGGTGTATGATAAATATGCTGGAGACCTAGCTCTAGGACTCCTAATAGGCATTTTAGCAACCTGCCTTTCTGTAGCTTCCATAATATTTAGCACCTCAAAACCATATGCCTGGGAAGCAGGGAAGTTTTATAACCCCTGCTTTACAGGTAAGGAACTGAGTCACAGGGGGGCTAAGTGACTTGCCAAAGTTGCACAGGAATTATGTGCAGAGCATGGAACTGAACTCATGTCTCCCGTGGCAGTCTCCCAACCATTTTAACATCCTTCCTCATTGTCCAAGCAGTCCCACCTTTGGTCAGAAAAGCCACAGAGGGTTCAGCCAAGGACGTTTCCATGCCAACAGGTGAAATAATTACTTGTAATAGGTTTCATGAGACAGGGTGGGGATTTAGGTTCAATTCATTAGTGTAACAACTTTCAAACACAACTCTGAAAACCTCATCAGTAACCAGCATCACAGGAAGTATATTTTTGCCACAGAATTCTCTTACTGTCCGAGAAGAGAGACAAAGGGCAGTGCAGAGCCTGGCTTTGAGATGCTATGGGGCAAATTAGGAAAAGAAGGGAGAATACACCTTCCAAGAAGGGAACTCTGAACAACAAAGAAACTGATCAATGCAGTTGAATGTTGCACCCAGTTAAAGGCTTTAAACAAATGGCTTGGACATAGGGCAGAGTGTGAAAGAGAAAAATGGTATTGGGGAATGGGGAATACCACTGAGCATGGCCTGCTTACCTGCTGTTGGGTCCTCTTCAGGCAGTGCCACCAATGTATAGCAAGTACCAGGCTGATTATAAACCAGGCTTTTGGCAGGCACATAGCCAATGACCTCATACCCTTCTGTAGGCTCCATCTGCACTGTGACATTCTCCAGAATCTGATCATTCAGGGTGTTTGTGCAATCAAACTACATGGAGAAGAAAGTGAAGTGACAGTTTGAAGCCACTAGTTATGGACATAGCAGCTGGCTGTGTATTATGTAGGCAATTGCTTAGTGCGAACCATAAATTCTAACCCCCTGCAACCTAAAAGCAATTCCTATCTGCTGGGATTCGAACCTCTATATAGGGACTTCAGACAGGGCTACAGTGATTGGATTTCTTTATGATGAGTCAGAGTTGTACCCCAGAGCAACTGGCCTTTCTAGCTTTTCAGATGGGAAGTTCAGCACTCCAAGGGACATAAATGCTTCTATCAGTGTTGCACAGGAAAAGAAATTAAAACAAATAAGACAAGAGTCCTGTGGCTTGGCCTCAGCCTCCTATATGAAAACACACAATTCAGAAGTGAAAGACGCTTCTTAGCTCATGTTAAGTCCTTATTCCCCTTCAGTGCAGAGTTGTTGCCTAGCAATTTGCATACTGTAGTTTTAAGCATTTCCAAGAAAACAGCTTCTGTCTCCTCGTCTGAGACAGTATTCCCAAGTCTAAAGATCTTTACTATAAGGCAGGTTGAATCAACATGGAGCCTGAAGTTTCCTCACTCAATTTTATGGAAGCACAGTGTCCTAGAGTTGAAATGGATGTGGTACTTCTAAAGGCTTGAGCAAGGGATGAGAAATCAAGACACACAGCTTCTGTTTAGGCTCTGATCCTGACTCATTATGTGACCTCAGGCAGACCGCTAACCTTCTTGAGAGCTTACCCATGTGTAAAATGAACGATGAAAATGTTTGCACGCATCTCAACACATAAAGAACTAGAGCCCTCAACAAGAGAGTCAGGTAAGCATAACGTGATTCCTCATAAATTAGCTGCAGAACTCTTTGTGCCCTGGGCTGCTGGCAACTGCTGTGGTCAGTGGCCCAGGCTGAAAAGATTAGCATGCATATCTTGAAGCATGCCACAAATGCAGCAGAAGTGTGTTAGAGACATGGCCAATTAATGTGGATACCCAGGTATTGACAGCATGGGCTTCAAATCACAGTAAGTGGCCTATCCCTTTCTAGATTAACCTTATCCTCTTGAACTAGGGAAGCTCCACACTCATTCATGCCTAAGAGCTCTGGTTGGGGAATGCTCCCCACTCACTATGAGCAAAGGTCTGGACTACGCTACGTAGTTTTGCTGGTGGAACTCAAAGTATGCCAGCAAGACGGCAAGTGCATGCATACCCATAGCTCCAGAGGCAGGAGAATCTCCTGCGTCTGCCAGCAGGTCTCCAAACATCCCGGTACCAGACATCAGCCTGCAGGAATCATGCACAGACACCCCCATGCCAGCTACCACACCCCTTTAACAGCTGTGCCTCCCAAGAGTGCACATCACAACCTGCCAGCACAACTGTTGCATGACAGCAGAGCTCCCAGAAGCCAGGCACCCTGGTAGCTTCCCTGTGGCACCTGCTGTGTCACAACAATTGCTGGCAGCAGCAACTGCCGCCTAAGGCAGATGAGGCCAAAGCCCTCTCTCCTCACCGCTGAGCGAGAACAGCACCACCTAGCGATTGCCCATATATCCATCACTGGAACTGTGATGTCTGCATAGATGCTTGGCCTAAATTTGCGTTCGCTGGGTTGTGCCTCTGGGAGAATGCCAGGATGGCTCACTTCTGTGGTCTACCCTGAACTACAGAAACCACTCGCTGGGCTGTTTCTTCCCAACAGTGCTCTTAAATGATGAGGAGGTAACTTTTACAAGCTTATTTCAGCCCAGCGCAGCAGCCTCCAACCCACCTGGAACACCATATGGCTGAAGAATGTGTGTTTGGTGCAGCGGACCACATACTCCGTCTCTGATTCTGTGAGAGCTACAGGCTCTGGAGATGACTTGAAGAGCGGGCCCAGGCCCCGGAACTCCGGGATCGCTGCCAGTTGCTCTGAAATGCAGTTCACAGAACCAAGATTATTTTCCACAACGCCTGAAATAGCAGGTCACATTCAGAAGCAGCACAAAGCCCTTGTGTTAAGTCACCAGAAGGTGGCTCAGCAGAGAGCTATCCAGCAACAAAAGCCCTCACTGAAAATGCATTCACAAACCAGAGCCAAAATTTATCTTTTGCCTGGGTTTGTCATTTATTTAACTGAGAATCGCACACAAGGAGGCTCCGGGTTTGGGGGCATAACTAGACCCCAAGTAGGAAGTAATTCCAAATGGTTTGGCTTGAAACTTGGAGTACAGCTGTTTATATCCCTGCTGCAAGAGTCACTTCAGAAGGTCAAGTGTTGCAGGGATTAGACAGGCTCTAAAAATTACTTGGCTGTTACTTCCACACCTTGTCTCTATTTAGGTGACTTGCATTCTGCTTACCTTGGAATATTTCTTGCCGTGTTGCTGCCACTTTCTCTGGCTGTTTGACCACAGCAACAGGAACATTTTCTGAAGCGGTAGAAGCAAAACAGGATGAGAATGTAAGGGAGGACTTCACTGGCTTAACACACAAACCACCATATCTGGAGAAGGATCTGGCCTTTAAGAGTATGATGGAAAGCTGCTATTCGTCTTGCTAGACATTGTTTTCACCCCAAGGAGCACGTACACAGAACTGCTGGACTCCTATCTTGAACTTCCAAACTAGCTTTGGAATAAAAGTATAGCTCAGTAAGAATTAATGGTCAGATTAAAACAAAATTGTAACCTGAGAGAAACCAGGTTTTATCAACCGCAGTCTCTGGAGAAAGCAAAACCTCCCCAAATTCAGATAAAATAATTGTAGCAGCAGATGGAGATGGACTGGATGAGACCTCTCTATCACCCAAGTGCCAGAAGTTATGAGGTTACAGAGTGCTTGAGCTTAACACCAAGAGGAGCATCCCCTATTACTCCATGGGTACCTGCTCTTTGTTCAGGGAGAGGAGCAGTTGCCAAAGGAACAGACTTCAGATCGAAGGGTTTCTCAGAGGGCTCCAGAGTATACTGATGCAGTGCCCTCTCCAGGCCAGGGATGGATACTGTCAAGCCTGAGGAAAGAAGGGAAAGATCCCTGAAGTCACCGACATCTGTTCCATTTGCCACCAAATCAGAATGCAACAGAAATCCCTACTCCTGCTCTTCTTTACTGGCCAATATTGTTCTGAGCACTTCACAGGTATAAGGATATCATTTAGCTTCCCTGCAGATGGCATGCTGAATTTACGTGGACATTCCTGAAAATACCATGGGTACTTTTATGCAAATCATTATCGTCCCCACAATAAAACAATTTACGCGCCTCCGGAGTGCATATGGTTGCATCATTCACGGTCTGAACCTAGCTATGCAGCACATGGCCATGCACTACAGTACAGTCTGGGCACTCAGTCACACTAAAGGTGTGTGCAGACCTGGAAAGCAGGGTAGCGTCACATGCATCTCATGTCTCATGTCAACTTCATAAAAAGTACCAAACCCCTTAACACTTGTCCCCTGGTCTTCAGGCAATGACTAGTGTAACCAACTGACAAACACATGACAGTCTGAAGGATGTCCAAGCTTCGTAGAATGACTCTGTCTCCACGTACCATTCAGGATGTAGCCAGCATTGAGAGCTTTCTGCTTCTGCTCCAAGACATTTAGGTAGAATGTGGCTCTGTCTCTCACTTCATTGTCATCATCCATCACACATCTGAAAGCAAAATATAGAACAAGGCTCAATGTGAGGCATACAAATCCATGCAAGCCATATCCCAACAGCTAATCCACCTTAGTGGCCTAAAGGAACTGAGAACATGTCCTGGGAAAAGCCAGTAATCTGTAACTGATTCTAGGCATCATGCTAGCAGGATGATAAATCACTACCTCACCATCCCTTACAGCTTCTCAGGGACCCTCAGACTAGTTCTACAGCACTGAATTCAACTGCAACACTAAAATCTGTAATGGGAAGCATCATTCCTTGTATAGTCGTCTCTTGAGTCATCCTGACATTATTTCTCAACTGGGACAGGGCCCTCTAAGATGCCAAAAAAATCCCAGGCAGGTACACAATCTTAGAGCACTTGAGAGGAATCCCAAAGATTTCTGGTGGATGAGGCCAGCTCTTCTCACTCACCTTTTCAGTAAGACCAAGATACTGGGTAACATCTCCTCATTCTGAGCTCCAAACTTGGCCAGTGCACTCACAGCACCTGCAGCAACAGCAAAGTCCATAGGATTAGCCAGGAGAGAACCGAACAAGGAGTTTCCTCTTTGGTTTCTGACATTATATGAACTGCCATAGTAATAAGAGGACACAAGGCCAGGAGGAGTAGATGGGGGTGGGGAATGCTGGCCCTTCTTCCTCCACGTAGCAAAGCCTCACAACTCACACAATGCAAAAGTCTTGTCCATTTTTTTTTAAAGACCCACTAGGAACCAGACCAAGTACGAATGCATCTAAGCTCTCAGAGTTAAAACCAGGTGTAGTGACCCACTGAAAGCCCTTTAATTGAATCCAGTTGGAGCAAATGACTGAGCTCCCACTCTTTAAGGGAACAGTGATTTCTAGACCTGCCTCTTACCTGCCCGGACCTCCTCATGCTCCAGAACAACCCGGTTGTAGATGAAGCGAATGTATTTTGAAGGATTATTGGTCTTGGGCCCTTCTTGCCCCAGAAGGTGGAGGATTCGGGTGGCCAGGACAGTGAACTCGCAGTCCTCAATGAACTCGCACAGGTGAGACAGACCTGTCTCTTTGCTTTCAGAGTTCTCCTCAATGATGCTGATGATACAGTCCACAATGGCTCGCTTATACTCAAAGCCTCCCTATGTGGCAAAGGGAAGCTGTCGGTGAGAAAGTTAACTGACCAGGAAGGAAGTTGCCCATGACTGAGGACTTCTCTTCCATGTGTGAAAGGAACTAGCTAGCAGCACAGCCCTGCTCAGGGCACTGGGCCAGTTCCAGCTATGCACATGTGCATGCTGCCTTTCAAAAAGCAGCAGCCAACCCACACATGCACTGACAGAGCCAGTGTGTCCAGCCCTAATATTACACAGAGCAGGGGCGCAACATGGCCATTAGCTCTGGAACGAACAAGGAGTTCTGTATAGTCAAGTTCTTCATACAGCTCCTTCCAAAAAAGGCAAACAAACATGTGCCAGATAAAAAGCAGACATTAATAAAGAAAGGTGCAACCATCAGCACACCTTTGAGACAGACTCCATTTCAAGCCTCTCAGCCATTAAATTCATTACATGAACCACCTATGTGGGAGGGATAAAACAAAAAAAACCCTCTCCCTTCTAGTGCCAGACATCTGCGTATGACTCAAAGGAATTGATTAGGGATCATCTCTGCCCCAGTAGGGCCTAAGGGCAATAAATTAGGGCAGCGAGATAAAAGATCAGCATCTCCCCTGGCACTGGGTATCACATTATTTTCAGCCGTTATTTAGTAGCCTCCATTATGTGTTCCAAAGGATGAGACAGCTCTATATCCTCTTCCAGTATATGTGCCTGTCTGTGGGTGTTTTGAATATCTTCTCAGAAGCTATTTTGGGTAAAAGAGTCATAAAAACAGAGTGGTCTGAACTCCAAAACCATATTTCAAAAGGATACCAGCTACCCACACAGAATCTGCAAGAATGGAACGTTCCATTTTCAAAGAGCAAGATAAAAGGTCTTGGTTTGCTCCAAAATGAAAGGTTTTAATTGGCAGAAAGTGATGTCATAATAGGCTATTGATGCCAGCCAGGCAGCAGGCATATATGTTAGACCATTTAGAAAAGGTTTCGGCAAACATCTGCAAAATGCCTTCCTGAAATCCTGTCACTGACTGCAGCAGGGAATAATGGTAGATATCAGGGATCCCTCCCAGATCAAGGATCCCTGGCAGCAGCAACAGAGCAAAAATCATTCATAAGGATGGCGTCAATTCATTTCTCTCTAAAGGACAAAGCTGCTTAGCAGCAGTTGTCAAAGTAGAGTGGGGGACAAAAACAGGTCGTTCAAGTGTTATCCAGACCTGGGCTGTCAGCAGATCTGTGGTTACAAGTGTTTGTTTTGACAGGTAACAAAGTACTGAAGCAAAACCATATGCTTGCACAGGGAGCCAAATAAAAAACAACATGCTTTAAGATTTTTCATGATGTCAGTTTGAAAAACTGCCACAGACTTGGCCTGTCACTTCTACCAAGTGGGCAGGCTCCCTCTGAACTGCATGTTTTCCAAGGCACGCAGCAGCACCTACTTTGTGGCCCTTAGATAAAAAATAAAAATAAAGAGGGAATCTGATTCTGACCAGGTCCCTTAGGCAGCCCCTGAGGCCAGTAACTAGCCTGCTGCCTTACCTCTTCCCGGAGCATTGTGAAGAGGAAGTTCATCAGGACTGCATGCTTGCGAGGGTACTTCTGACACAGAGCGCTGATAGCCTGTACCACCACAACCTGGACAGGTTGGAGAGAAGTGCATTTAGCCAGGAGAACTCCACCTTGTTT